TATATATATATATATATATATATATATAGACCTAGATTCCACCACAGACCCAGGAATCTTTGAATCACATCTTAACGCTTGTTTTTTTAAGTGATGCTTTTATTATAAATTAGCATGTTGTCATTCTATCAATGATTTATATTCCCCTTTTGTCTGTTTTTATAGTTTTTATTTCTTTGTTTTGTAGTCTAACTGTTAAATGTTTTGTCACTTTAGCTGACAATCCTAAAGTTCTGCATCAATAAATCAAGGAATAAATCAGTGTCTTTTTTCTGTCTTTCGAATGTTGTGGGTAAGAGTGCTATACACGTGGGCAGTTGAATTGCAGTGTAGATTTACCACTCAGATGTCAGGATCCACCTGAAACCCCAAATAAGTTTTACCTAGTGTTTATTTAAAACAGTTATTGACAAATTTGATTAGTTCCAATTGCATTTTGTGCATATATTTCACTCTTTATATCAAAAGAAATATTGGAAATGTATTACACCTATATTATCATGTCATCTATTAAGTACACAAATATTAAATGAGAAAATAATTCCTTAATTAAACTTAGATTCGTTTTTTGTTGTTGTTTTTTTTGCAGTAGATAGAATTACAAGATAGCTCTTGAATGCAGCACCACAATGCCGTTCACCGATCGTCCAATCAGAGTGCGGGATACTGAGCAGCGTGTGTTTGTTGCTCGTGGGGCTAGCAGCGCAGACGCGTGAGCGAGGTTACTAGCCTAGTTAGAGGTATGCGATTCAATTATTGAATTCTTTATTATCAAGAACATTTATTTTATCTACCTGGTACTATTGATCGACCCTATAAGTTATTCAGCAAGCCATGGTGTGGTGTCTTTATCTAGGTTTTATAAACGCTTGTGTTTAATTTACAAATGAGCTAACGGTAGCTACATAATATTAGCTTTTTATAGCGGCCGGTTAGTAGCATTATCCGCTATCAACCATTTTTTTAATAACATAATGTAACTGGTATGCATTTGGTACTAATTTCACTGTCTCGTATGCCATAAATCAACAGAAGCGATAAAAACGTTTGTTTTCCCCCCGTTTTTTCGTTAAAGCATTGTTCTCAGCACGCTGTTAGCCTGTTAGCTCGTTCAGTCAACTGTCAGATCTTTGGAACCGCCCATCTACCAGCATAGGAATTTGTTTTAAATACTTTCCGCTGGTATCGATAGTAGGGATGAGTTTTATTTATTGTCATAAAGTTACGGCGACATTATTAGACTTTTTTTTCTGTTGGTAATAATAGGCTAGCTGGAGTTTTCAGAGCTATCTGCCATTATCGTGTCAATGCGTCATCAGATTGTTGCCCAACAGTAAAATCGTCTTGAAATCTGCCTGCCCAGCTTACGTGCCTATGTTTTTCTGTTATAATAGGCATATATTTAATGATAAAGTAACTATTGTGAGTTTTTTTATTTAATGACTAAAGCAATCTTTACTTTTTGTTTAAATCCATCATAATACTGAAATTGTGTGATAAATTATTTCCAGTCTGATCACAGATCTTGCTTCTTTTATAAACACGTTTCCAAACGTATCAAATATGTGAAAAGTCAGAAACTTATTTGGTTTTAAACAACCTGCTAAACTTAAGTTAGATTACACACATTAAAAGGTATAAACATAATGTGTTCTCTTGTTCTTTTATATAATGGCAATAAAAAGATTTTTTTTTCAGTGGGAATACTAAGATTGTGTATGGTAGATGTGAGCTGTGTCTTTGTAAATCAAAGCGATCGAAGCCAAAATAGAAACCACAGACATGCTGATAGTAAAGCAAGTTTATTTGTATTGCACATTTCACTAACTAGACAATTGAAAGTGCTTGACATGATTCAATCTTTGGAATGTAGCAACATACCTGCTGTCAGTATCTGCTTTTTACAATCTCTGTGTGGTTCTTTACTTTCTTTTATTACACTTAACACTGTTGGCACTTCTGTGGACTGCTGACATAAGCCTTTTTTTATTTATTTATTTTTTTTAATTTTTATTTATTTATTTACAGAGGAAGGTGCTCACCTTTTGTCATCATGGATCCAGTTAAAGGTAAAAACAGAAAAGAGCTTTGTAGCCTCCACTGTAGCTAGTACTCGTCTGAAGTAAAGTCTTATTTCAGGCATTACAAGTAACGTTTTCTACCCGTTCATATATTGTGTACCAAAGAATTGTACTAAGATACATATAATGGATAATCTCAGACCTCAAACTACATCAAGATACACTATTTATGTTTTTACAAAGCTACACACACAAACTCATTCAGTAGATTTTTTTCCTTTTCATTCATCTTTTTTAACTTTGTTTTTCTACTTTAGATGAGCACATTCACATTTTTCCAAAATCCCCCATATTTTATAAAGCAAATTTGTGGTTCTCTGCTGGAAAAAAAGTGTATTTTTTGCCACTTAAAAAATCCCATTTAAGTTTTAATAAAAATATCCCATTTTGATAGATTTTTTTATGTTCAAATCGGAAGTTATATGATGACTAATAAAGAGATATCACTTACCACCCCGTTATTGTCTTAACATGATGCAAGAAAGTCAGTTGCTGAGTTTGTGCTAATTATTGTAATGCCTTTAGCTGCACGTAGAGGGGAACAAGCCATCCCGAATCCAGGTGGGCAGATGGGCAAACCTGTTGTATTCCCCTTCATGGAAAGGTAATTACAGATTTTTAAATACCTTGTTTGATTACCACCGTTCTGGTCATAGTTTGATATGTGGATTGTGCTGCACTGTCTAATTACCACCTAACATAACTAAATTTCTCATAAGTAAAGATAGAATCTATTTGTTTTCAAAGAAAATCCTTTAGTTTAAAAGTAAAGGATGTTGTCTAAACTTAAATTAAGAAATAAAAACATTTAAAGGTATTTGTTTACTGTAAGGCATATTATGCATCCATTTATCGCAGTATGCTTACTTCTAAATCCTAATTGTTGAGCATTTCCATTCACTGATGTTTTAGTCCAATATGGCTTAAAAATTGAATGTCCTATTGTTTTCCCTTAAGTTTCATAATAAAAATGACCAATATAAACATTACCTTTATAAACTAATATTTATTTCAGTCATTCCTCTTTGGGATGTGACTTTAATTTCAAAGGCAACAAAATTCAAGCTATAAAAGTTTTTGCTGACAATGAAAATAACATCCTATATGTGGGGTCGATATGCCACTCCACTTTCTTATACCCCGTTTACACTACCCTTAAAAAAACTGAGCCGAGACCGGTCCGAGCTCAGTAACTGAGATAACTTGTCGTGTGTGAACGGAAACAACCTGAACTGAACCGAGATAGACATAACCGGACCGCGCTAACTGCAGACCAGTTCCCGAGGTGGGTTCGGCTCGGTTTTTTCCTGGCTCGGTTCTCTGATAACAAGAGCGCATGAGCAGAACGCGTCATCGCCGACTGGCTGAACATGCCGATTCACACTCCATTCAAGTACATCCGCGCAAGGTTGCCGTCTTCGCCTGACCCACCGCAAACACGGAAGTACAGCAATAATAATCAAGCATAACTTTCTGAATGTGACGGGCGCCGCCATTTTGATTTGCTTGATTCCCTCCTCCTTCGTCTTCTTCTTCATGGGTTTTACGGCGGTTGACAAACAGCGTTTGGTGCATTACCGCCACCAGCTGCTTGAGTCCCTCCTTCAATCCTAGCAGTAATACCGCACATCGTCACTAGGAGGCGAGATAACCGAGATAAGTGTGACGTGTGAAAGGTCGTCAAAACTGAGCTTGGCCTGGTTACCGATCCAAGCTCGGACCGGTCTGGGCCTGGATCGGTTTTTCAAGGGTAGTGTAAATGGGGCTTTAGTGTCTTAGGTTTTTGAAGAACTTGCAAAATTGTTCATCTCTTTTGGACATAGGCCTAAACTGATTCTTCTGTCTTCTTTTGTTTCTTTCTAGAAAAAAATATTGTGGTCTTTATGTGTAGTACACCACCTCAAATGACAATGGCCGCATAATTCATTACTCATTAAAGTGTCTGTATGTTAAAATCTTCTTAAGTTAAACATAAGCCCAGGCTGAACCTGGTTAAACTGGCAGCAACTTATATATAACCCATCTTAATTCCATCTGGTTTATAAAGAGTTGGCCAAAATCCTTCCAACTATGTGACCAATTGAGAACAACTTGGAAAGCTTCTTTAGTACTAGCAAACAATTCTAGGATATACATGTTTGTTTGTTTTGTTTTTTTTGGCTCTATTTTGCCTTTACCTTTGTTTCTGTTCTTTAAATTATATCAAAGTTAAATATGTGTGTTTTTACACCTTTAAAGCTGGATCCTGGAAGAGAAGGTTATTTTTCTAATACAATATGTAAGAATCAAAAGCATCTTTACCCTTTTTTCCCCCATTACTGTATTTAAATCCTATTCATTAGAAGCTGTTGTTCATGGCAACAAAAATTAAGAGGCAAAAACAAAAGTTAACCTAATTTGCTTTCTTGGGGTAAACATGTCCATCAATTGTCTTTGAATATTGCTTAACAAATAGCCTAATTTCAAAATGAAGCCTATTTTAGAAATTATCTTTAAATTGGTTAATCTAATGTGAGAAAATGTAACTTTCCTGTGTTTTCTTTCTGTTCTAGCATGCTTCCTAAAGTAGTGAAGAGGAGGGTGCATGCCTTAAAAAGACTACAGGAACAGTGCGCTCACATTGAAGCAAAGTTCTACGAAGAGGTCCATGAGCTAGAGAGAAAGTATGCAACTCTATATCAGCCACTATTTGACAAGGTACTTCCATATCATCAATATGCTTTACCCTAAACATTCTATGTGCATTATGTTAAAGGAAACAGACATTTCCTGTGATCCTATATCCATGAATGTTTTTTTAAAAGCACCGAGGACATTTTGTCTGTTCAGTCTGGTCTGAAGTCAATGATGGTACATCCTTAGTGCTAGAATGAAAACTGTCCCAACGAGTAGTCGGCTGTGCTTTTCAGTCCAGGCTATTTCCAGCGATAGTGACAAGAGCTGGGCTGTTCCTAAACAAGTAGGAGTGTAACAGCTGTAGCCTTTTGCACCTGTTTCTATCGCGTTCATGGTCACATGTGTGAATATCTTAGGTGAACAATGTGTTTACAGAAAATACTTTACCCTGACCATTTTCATGTTTGTTTAAAAGGATGTTGCATAGTTGTCCCTACATTTGGTGATTTTTTTTTCTTCTTTTTTTCTCGATTAATTTTCATATCTCGTGTTCAGAGAAGAGAGATTGTCACGGGAGCTGTTGAACCCACAGATGAGGAATGTGAATGGCCTACTGACGAGGATGAAGAGGAGGAGCTTGCTGTAAGTTTAGGTTTGATTTCAAAAGGGCTAATTAATAAAATATAGGAAATGTTTGTCCTTATTATTTTTTTTTTTCTTTTAAAGATATTTTCTCCAAAGAACATTTGGAAACTTACTGTTTTGTTTGTTAGGGATTTTTTATTTTTTTTTATTTTTTAATGTTTGTGAAATTCGGCAAATAACAGCTTCAAGACGAGAGGCAAAGTTAGTTGTATTCAATTGTGCAGAATCAAGGGTTCCCGAACTGAGGGTTACAATTCCCTAGAGGGGATGCAAAAATATTTTCAGTATCACTGTGATGTGACGCCTTAAGGTAATGGATGAAATTGAATAATCATATGTATATCACAAAATAAATGCAAATGTCCCATAAAGCTGATGAATATAGCAGATGTCCCTAGAAAAACAATTTACAATTTTTCTAAAACATGTAATCATTTTAAGATTCAGTTAAAAAATGCCTTATTGGATAATTAAATTTGCCAGAAGAGATGTTTACATTTTTAATGGTGACATTAGATTAGGTCATCATTTAAGAATACAAATAAATGTTTCACAGTCTTTTGTTATAATACCAAAAGACACAAGAAATTTTTTCTTATCATACAGGAAAATCATTAATCATTGCCTGTAAAAGAATAAAAACTTAAATGAATTACTGCTCTTAAATATCAATTAAAGGTTAAGGCATTGACACTGAACTGTTTTCAGACCTTTACAGAGGTAGATCAGATTGGTGGAAAAAATCGGTTTCACATCTCGGTATCCACCAATCACAGATCGCTCAAAATTAAGAAAATCAAGGCCAATTAATTGGTGCACTCCTAGTATCTTTGCTTAAGAACTTACAACAAGTCTTTGCAATGATACAGTTTCTACTAATCAAAAAATAAAAGCTTAATTATTATACTGAAATAACTGAAAATGTGATTTTGTATACTTATATTCTTCAGTGTAACATGTATTTTAGATATTTAAACTTAAACTTTATAAAGAAACGTGTAGCAGCCCCTCAGCGAGCTAACCAACGGGGTCAATTTTCTCCCTGATCACTGAAACTATGTGATATAGTTAAATTATTTTAAAACTCAAACTTTTTTAAAGCTCTAGTTGTTTTAAATCTGTATAAAACTTGATACATACCTGGATGCTGTTGACTGCTCCATTACCATTATTTTTAAGAGGATGTTCATATTTTATTTATTTATGTTCATAAAGTAATTATTTCTCTACCATATTGAACCTTATTTAAACAGTTATCAGGCACTTATTTTCATCACAGCACCTAAACATTTATTGCAAACCAAAATATGAAGCTTTGTTTCCCTGCAGTCTGCAGGGGTCAGTCTTTTATATCTTTATACTTATTTTTCTGAAAATAAATATTTCCTAAACTTCTAATAAATAAAAATGTTGACAGGAGGAAGTAAAAGAGAAGGCTACAATTGAAGATGCAAAGAAGGAGGAAGCCAAGCCAGAGGAAGACCCAAAAGGCATCCCTGACTTCTGGCTTACCATTTTCAAGAGTGTGGACATGCTGAGTGACATGGTGCAGGTCTGGATTCATCTCAGTCTTAGAATTTAATCATAGCTAATAAAAGTGTTTTTGGTCTTATGGGAACTTTGGATTTACCTTTTAGGAACACGATGAACCTATTCTCAAGCACCTGAGAGACATTCAAGTAAAGTTTTCTGAACCAGGGCAGCCCATGGTAAGTACCAACTTGCTCCTTTAACTTCAAGATGTGGTGAAATACTAAATTGAGTGTTATTTCTCTTGTTCCCCGTCTTGTACAGAGTTTTACATTAGAGTTTCATTTTGAGCCCAACGGCTATTTCAACAATGCAGTCCTTACTAAAGTCTACAAGATGAAGTCAGAGCCTGATGCCTCAGATCCTTTCTCGTTTGAAGGCCCAGAGATCATTGACTGTGAAGGGTAGGACTCTCAATAAACTGTTGAGGTTGTTGAGATGCCATTTTGAGTCTTAGACAAAAAATAGATTTTGTGTGGTTTGGAGAAAAAAATAACTTTTGTGAAGCTGTTCTATATTAATATCTCTTGCCTTTGCATCCCACATTTCAGCCTCCTCATTTCTGCATCCTTGGTATTAAATTTCTTCTCACTCTTTGCACACTTCCTCTCTATAGATGTCAGATAGATTGGCACAAAGGAAAGGATGTGACTGTGAAAACTATAAAGAAGAAGCAGAAGCATAAAGGTCGTGGCACTGTGCGCACTGTTACCAAACAGGTTCCCAATGACTCCTTCTTCAACTTTTTTAATCCTGTCAAAGGTAAGAAGGCACGCAAACAGACACACCAATACCAAAAATGTGTATCCAATTATTCTAGACCTTTTGACTTCTATTTCATAAGCAATTGTGTAATAACCAACATACTTCTGTATAGGCGTGTTTTTGCCTAATTCTTAATATAAATCAACATTTTATGAGCATGGGAAAATACTTAAAAGACGTGATGGTTTACTAAGAGCTGTGGATGTTTATGGCTCTAACATTAACAATCAATACAACCTGAGTCTCATATGTTGATTCTATGGACAATGACCAAAAAAAAGAGCTCAGTAGTTTGGAGGGAAGATTTTTGGCTGTAAAAAAAAATTGTATAAGTCTGCTGGTCAATTAAAAAAAAAAAAAAAAAAGAAAAGAAAAAAAAGGGAATTTCTCAAATTGTACACTGCTAAACTGCTAATCTTGTTATCAACTGGCATAAAGGTCCTGGAGGAATAAATTGGAAGTGAAAATTTGAAAGTAAATTAATCTGAGCCTGAGGGAATAAGGTTTAAATGGCCAAAAATGAAATTCTGCCTAAAAAAAAAAAAAAAACACTTAAGATTTTTACCTTTAAAACTTATAACATTTTCTGTAATGAAGGAAATGTAATAAACTGCAAATACAGCATCTTAGTTACATATGTAGCAAGTTTGGTATCTATCCAAAGAGCCACTGAGAAGTTATATATGCTAAGATCCAAAAAAAGATTAAATTGTGGTGGACCTTTACTGTGCCATTTAAGCACACTTTGGCATAGTATCTGAAATTTGGAAATAATTCTTGAAAATTTTAATTGGGGATGCTGTTGTTTATAAAAATATAAAAAATCATTTTTTGCCATATACCGCTGAGAGGTATGTTTAAAAAAACAAAAAAAAACAAGTCTTGCTCTTATCTCAACATAGCATCATTTAAAAACCACTTTAAGAGTTTTCCCACCAAATAAATATAATAAAATCATAAAGATGAGATTTTTCTGCATTATTAGCCAAAAAAGTTAGCCAACCATAACAAAAGGTTAAACTTTAAGTTATTTTCCTTCTCTTCACCATAGGTGTTTACAATTAATCCATGTATGTATGACTTCTAAACAAGATTCATCTTTGTCATCCAGACATGGCAGCTCCATAGGATGCAGACTGAAAGGTGTAATTTGAAAATTAGACCTATGCCAAAGATAAAAGATTTAACCAACTTAAAGAGCAAACTGTAATTAATATGAATCGTATCAACATATGTTTAGTGCTGATTGCACCTTTTGAATGTTATGTTAATGTAACTATTTTCTGTGGACACTCTCCCCACTCTGCCTGTATTGAAAATATTCCCTATATGGTAGGTAGATCAAGATGCGCACAAAGTAGAAAGTCACTCTCTGTGTTCTAATGAAGATACTAGGCCAGCTTGTATGCATGTATCCTGAACTCACCAGCAGGTGGCGCAGGGCTCCTAAAATCTTCACAGCCCCATTATGACAGTGTCTGCCTGCAGCTTCTGAATGAAGTCAGGCCTCAGATATTAAAGCTTAGGATTTTACATTGCAGTGATAGTCTAAAATTCTTTATTTTTTTTCTTTAGTAGTTTTCTTACTGATTACTAGTACAGCTGCCACATGCTGCTAAAATAACACCCTAGTTAGAAATTAGTTTCCATTAAATCTGACCAATTCAACTGTATTTGAGAAATGAAATTAGATAATTGAAAATAAATGTTTTCTTCATGGGCACAATCACAAACTTTGATCTGTTGGTTTTACATGGACAATTACTAGGAAGGGTTTTATGCTCCACTGATTTAGATTATGAGTGGAATGAGATGACTTTTTAAATCATACATTAACTGCTTGAGCAGGTTATGCTGCAATGTCTTACTTTGATCATCCTTGTTTTATAGTATCTCGGCAGACATGCCTTGACTTTTATTGAAAGTTATCTTTGCGATTCAGCCACATTGTCGGTGTGACAGTTAATATAAATATATCCTTATCAGTTGAGTTCAGGTGTGCAGTTTTGGGGCAAAGATGTCAGGAGTGAATAACCCGCCTGTCTTTTAATGTGACTACACACAAAAATGTCCAGTGACTCAAACATTCTTTTTTTAATGTGGATTGTTTTGAAAGTGATACTGAAACTTCATTTTAAAGGTTCTAGTTGGGACCTAGTGTTTTATTCATTTTCCACGTTTGAATTCTAAATCAGTCCTTATTGGGGAAATTCTATCCCGATAAACCTGACTAAATGTGAGATTAAATGTGTAATTTAGTCTGGCCCCGATGAATGAGACAATTGAAGACTGTTGATGAGAACAACCTGTTGTTTTTCAAACCATGTCTGTGCCTATTGGCCAACGCTCTGACCAATGAGCACAACTGACTGTGATGTAGTAAGCGTGACAGGAAGCTGGTGGGGGAGTGTAAACCATCAGCCTGTCGGTAAAACGGCGAATACGTCTTTCTTAAAAATGAATGAGAGTAGAACCTCTTCCTGCTCATGTTTCAACGAAAACCCCAAGTCTAATCTTTCCAAAGCTGAGTCAAAAATCTCCATCAGAGCGAGCGGTCCTTCGCACACGACTATGCCGAGAGAGGGCCGCCCCAGACGGCTGCAGTTAGCCCTGGTTGCCGTTAGCCTCGGAGGTCCGCTGGTTGCCGCGGGCCTCTAAACTTGGGACATTTTTCTTTATTACACATTAAATCAGTAAATGGACCATATAGTGACGCTTTAAAGTATAATATTGTCACCTCAAATGGTATTAAAACATACTTTTATTGAACAACAGCAACAGAAAAGAGAACTTTTAACTTTCAATGGAGCGCTCCATTAATTCTGCTGCAGTGTATGCTACTGTTCAATAGCTGTTGCCATCTTCCTTGTTGTGCTTTCTCCAGTGTCAAGCAGCTTTGTCGCCACACCCACAAAACCTGCGCCCTTTGCATGCAAAAGTTCAAAACACATCTCTGCGTTGTGATTGGCCCTCGAGGCTAGTCCAAACTCGCAGGCAAAAATGATTTTGGTCGCTGGTGGGTGGGGCTAGTTTACTAGGCTAGGGAAATTCAACCTTGTCAGCAACCAAATTTGTGTGTCCATGTTTTTGTTACATTGTGGGGATTATTTCCTAGAAATATGCTAGATTTTGGGGACTTATAGGTACTTGTGAGGACCAACAATTGGTCTCCTTGAGGAAAGGGGCTTATAAGGACTATGGTGGAAATCGGGTTTAGGTTAGGGTTAGGTATGTCTTGGTAATGGTTAGGGTGTCTGACTTAGAAGTGAATGGGAAACGCATGGTGTTAACTACATATAGTAAGACAAGAAAGGTTTGGTTTATATCTATCTAGATAGAGGAATAGACTGAGACAGACCCACCCTTGTAGTGAAGACCATGCTTTTCCCACTCACTTCTATGGGCCAACGTAGACCCTTACCCTAACCATTATTACCAACACATACCTGATAGCTATATAGATATAGAGATGTGTGTAAGTTAGTTTAGTATAATCACATAAAACACAATATAAAAATTTTGTTTTTGGTATATTTTGCAGAAATTCTCTACCTGTGTCTCTAGTATTTTATTTTGCTGCTGGTCAGGTTTGTTTTGAATGTGTCACCCATGAATTTATGATTTGAAGTCCTGATGAGGCATTTCCTGTTGTAATGAAATGGATTTTTGCATAATGAGTTGGTCCTGAAACTATTTCAACAATCTAACCACAAGCAAATGTAACATCAAATAGTTTCTACAATGAGTTTGTTGAAATGATTGTTGAAATAAATTCCCATTGTTGCTTGCTCTTGACCTTATATTTCTTTATTTTGCAGCTTCGCCAGATGGAGAAATGGTGAGTTACCTTTCCTATATAATTTATAGTTAGGGATGGATTATTGTTTTATCAGATTGGTTAAACTACTGAAACTGTTTTCACAGGATGAAGACTCTGAGTTCAATCTAGCCACAGACTTTGAGATCGGTCATTTCTTCCGTGAGAGAATAGTTCCCAGAGCAGTGCTGTATTTCACCGGCGAGGCTTTAGAAGATGAGAGTGTAAGTCCTTACACCCAGAAAACACACCTGCAGACAGGATTATAGAGAAAATGAAGCACTTGGTTCACATAATGGGAAGTATATAATGACTGTTGGGTGTTTTAACTCTTGATTGTTTTGCAGTTTGAAGAAGAGGAAATGGAAGAGGGAGATGAAGAGGTAAGTAATAATAGTTTCTAACTCTTAAAGTCTCTAAGAATGGAAATACAAGTCTTTCCACTTAGACCGAGCTCAACGCATCTCTTCCTTTCAACTCACATTAATCAGCATGTTTTTTTTTTTCCCCAGGAACAAGATGAGGAGGGTGATGAAGATGATGAAGAGGGAGATACTGATCCCAAGGTGTGAAGCTTTCACTTATTCTTTAGTTTCATTTATAAATGTTGCCATTAGTCATAAGTTAAGTGTGTTTTAAAATGCTATTGAAATATATGTGCAAGGTGCTGTGGCATTATACTCTACCTATCCAGACCAGGCTTGGGCCTTATCTAGATTGGAATATTAACAGTTAATTTAAGACTGCTAAACTTGCCCTTAAAGTAAGGAAAGGAAATTATATATCAGCCTATTTTCACCCAGCTGATGGGCAGTGTGTTCAACGGGTGGGGAAATAGAAACTACTCTGTTCCATATTAATCCCCTAAAACAACATGCAACCCCAGCATTTTCCCTGGCACTTTATTAAAAGCCCTTTTAACCACAGGAATAGTGTGATGGGGGATATCGGTATGCGTTTATGCTGGTCAATGGAATGTGTTAAAATCAAGTGGAGCATTACATTTAACATATTTTAACTCCTCATGTACAAAAATTACTACCTTCAATCATAGAAAGATTTGGATCATCTTAAAGTTGATAAGACTCTTCAGTTGCCTGAAGTGAGTTTGAGTTCTTTCTTATAAGACAACTTGCGGAGGATAAGAACTCGCTCTGATATCTAAACCATAAATGTTTTCTATAGTTAATTCGATCAGGCTAATGAAATAACACTCTGTTTAATCCTTAGAGGGTAACAGCAGTGTACTGGCCTTTGTAAGCAGCCATTTGGAGGTGATCTCAAGTTTCTTTAGGGTGATGTGCTGAGATTAAGTCGCCATCATCTGTTACTGATTTACTGCAGGGTTTCTTTGACCAACTCCAGCAACGCTTCACTTTATGCTCATTTTCATCTTTGAATGTGATAATTAATTCTTTCCATAATGTTTGTCTCTCCCTTACCCTGGATCTCCCCTTCATTACAGGCATAATCAATCATTCTCACTCCATGCATTTCTAGGTAAGGGAGAAGTAAAGATGGCGCCCCACATTCTTTGCTCACCGCTATATGGGAGCTTTGATAATTATTCTTGCTGTCTTTTCTACTTCTGTACGCCCATTAAACTCAATGTAGTTTTAAGATACAGTTTTAACCTCTGACTCACTTCTTAGGTTGAATGATATACCCGCTCCCATAGTCATGTTTATTACTATTCATTCTCTTCTGTCATCCCATCCCAGGTTTCTAATATCATAACCTTTACTTCACCAAGCCAGGTCTCTTCAATCTTCTTCATTTGCTTTCCTAATAAACCTCTTCACCGCGCTAGCTGAAACTCAAGTCTTTCTAAGCACCTCTGTTTTCTAATCATGTTTTCACTGCGTGTTGTCCACAGAAAGAACAGCCTCAACCTGCCGAATGCAAGCAGCAGTAACCGTGATAAGGGGAGGTGGAGACCTGTTCATAAACTCGGTTCTCAGCCTGTCCATTAGACCTCCTTCTCCTGCAGGCTCTACCCTTTTACAAACGCTCACTGGAACGCAATAGAACCCAAATCTGTGTTTTTACTATGTGCATGACTTCTTTTTCTACCGTCTTGCGCCATCTCACCCTTTTAATTTGGCATTATTTTACATCACAACGGCAGTGGATTCTGAATTGAATCTATGTTATTATAGGTACAGTCATTTTCCTGCAAAACTCAGAACATGATATTGGAGGAAGATAGAAAAGGAATTGCTCACAACTTTACTTTTCATGGAAATAGGTCAACTACTCAGGGGTTTTTAATGCCATCAAGCAAGTTAAGTTTACCAGGAAACTGCTGATTAAGATGGACGTCATCTATCACTGGGGTTGGTTTTGGTTTTCTCTTTTTTGTTTTTTTTGTTATGGTATTATTTCTTAAGACACATAATGTACCATTTTTAATTTCATTTACTTGTTTAAATGTTCATTATGTCATTGGACTATTTATTTAGGTGTAATGCAACTGGGTGGGATGTTTCATGCTGAGGGAATGCTTTAAGGCACTAAAAGGCTTATAATTGGCTTAGATCTCCATTTAAGCTAATTAAAAGTATTTATTTTCGATTAGTACCATGCTTCATCTATTTTTGAAAACATTCTGCAGCATTTATATACTTGGGCTGCTCCCTCTTGCCAAGGCTAGTTGGGTTCAACAGGCATTTAAGTCGTGCGATACTAATCGGCACTGGAACAGACATGTATGGTCACACATTTCTCTTGGCTGTTTATCACAGCTACCCTGAAATCCTCTTTGAACTGAAGCCAATGTGGAAATGTTTTACAAGAACACATTTCTTCTTTATATTTGCCGATTATAGATTGTTCCATATCCTAAACTTTAATACCCTGTATAGTGAAGACTTCCCTCAGACATAATGGAACAAAACATATAATTGAAAGAACCTTTTATATGAGCTCTTTGAAATTCTTTTATGTATCTAATTCCTAACAAATGTCAGAGTCACTGATGGGATTGTGCAGGAAGCTTTGTTCAAATGTAAGTTCTGTTGCCAAGAAGCCAAATGTAAAAAACAAATGGTTTGCTAGTGAAATTCTGTAATCTAAGAACGACATTTAAAGTTGTTAAACATGTATGAATATAAATATATATACAAATTCTTCTGTTTATATCTGATGGTTTGGTGGAAACATTCATGGAACAGGGTGCCAATGTATTTTCTCTTCTGCACATGGATTTTGGCTGTTTATTTGGACATGTTTGCCCGATGACTGTTCATTAATAGTTGTGACAGCATCCCCAAATTCCTCCCCTTCTTTCTTTTTAAAAAGAACGATTGTACATCTCATCGGATGGTTCTCTTAAAGGCCGCGGTTCACCTCCTCAAATGTACTCCCATCAAACCGTGTGCTAGCAATGGCCTTAACTGGTTCTTATTCACAATTTGTTACTTGCGCAATGTTTCTTTTCAATTTGTACAGAGTTAGTTAAAATATTCTATTAAAGTTGTGCGACATGGAGATGTGTTTTTGTCTGGTTACTCTTGTTCAGCACTATATTACAGTTGCTTTAGTGGTTGAATATCTTCATGTATGTTGGGATTAATCGGTTATTATCCCGGTTTAAAAAAAAAACAAACCTTTAGACAAGTCAGTGCCTCTGTCGATATGGCCTTTTTAAGGTCTGGCATCTGGGCCTTGTGAGGAAGTTGGAGAAAATATGGCAAAATACTATTGGTTGGCCTCCAAGCGATTCTAGTTTCTTCAAAGGAAAAAGCAGTTCTTTTCTTGAGTTGGTGGGAGACGGGAATTGCTGACCCTGGAAAAAGACTGCATGGTGGAAGGAATATTTAAGGATCTCCTTAACCCAGCTGACATGCCTACTGTGGCAGGAGAAGAGACGGTTGCTTTGGGCCAGGCCAAATTCACAGAACATAAAAAAACTTGAAAACAAGGCTAACCACGGTGGATGAGATCCACCCGGAGTAACTTAGATATCTGGATGTTGTCAAGCTGTCATGACTCATAGGCTTCTTTAACTTCAGAGGTCACAGACTCTTCCCCTGGACTGAAAGACTGCTTGGTCAGCCAGGAGAGGCTCTGAGTAGATCCGCTTCTCCACATCAAGAGGAGTCAGCTGAAGTGGCTCGGACATCTCTCTCTTATGCCCTCTGGGCTCTTCCCTTTGGGAGGTATGTTATTGGCACATCCCACCAGGAGGAAGCCCAGGGGACGATGTGTCTCATCTGGCCTGGCAGCGCCTCAGGCTTCCCCCAGCAGAGCTGGAGAAGGTGTTTCGGGAGAGGGAAGTCTGCTGAGACTGCTGCCCCTTCAACCCGGTCCCAGATAAAGTGAAAGATGAGTACAAGTCACTAGAATTGGGGCGCAAATGCTAGCCTAGATATTACTGTCCTCCGAATGACAGGCCTGATGAGAGCATTGATAAAACAAGACGCTCATGGTAAATTTGAAGGAGTTGCATAGATCCAATCCTTCGAAGAGGAGACAAGAAGACCAATGGTAGTTAATCTGAACTTTATGGAACAATAACTAGTTTCCATCAAATAGGATCAACAATTAAGCTGACTTAAACCCTTGTGTTTAGCCATGAGAGGGAAACCGGTCAGAGGTGACAGGAAAATTGATAAAATTAAGTTGAATCCTGGAAAAAAAAGGGCATTTGAGTCGGAAGAGGGCTTTATTCTTGAAAAGGAGAGTGTTCCTAAACATATCACTGATGTTCAGATGCACGTTCTTAAATCTGCCTAAATTTGAGCAAGAAATGTAAAAAGATGCTGGCGAAAAGGCCTGGATAGATTTTCCAAAAATGCAAGTTCTTCAAAATTTAGAACAAAACGTGTGACAATTTCCATCTACTTCACAACTATGCAGTAGCTTGAATTTGTGCTATAAAAATGCAATATACACTATATTGCCAAAAGTATTTGCTCACCCATCCAAATTATTGGAAT